TGAGAGAGCGAGTGCGTGTGTGTCCCCTTGTGCGAATATACGCGCGCCCCCCCGCGCGTGTGTGCGTGTGTGCGTGTGTGTGTGTGTGCGAGAGTGTGCACACACACACACATATATATATCTATATATATACATACCTATCTATATATCTATATCTCTCTATATATATATATTTATATATATATATATATATATATATATATATATATATATATATATATATATATATATATATATATATATATATATATATATATATATATATATATATATATATATATATATATATATATATATATATATATATATATATATATATATATATATATATATATATATATATATATATATATATATATATACATACACTACTTATTACATACCACACTAACCATAGTTAAAAACCAACTCCCCACATTCAAAAGAACTATACCATATATACTATAGATACTCAACCGTTGACAATAGTTCCACCGTTGGGATGGAGGACCTGGCCCGTAATATAAGACGAATCGACATTCGAAGCAAGGAACACGTAACACGGTGCCACCTCAGTGGGCTGGCCGGCCCTCTTCATCGGCACTTGTGCCCCGAAACTCGCGCTCTCGTCCTCGGTGAACGAGGCCGGGATGAGTGGGGTCCACACCGGGCCGGGCGCCACACCATTGACCCGAATGCCTTTCTCCACCAGCTGCAGCGCTAGCCCTCTTGTGAATGCAACTATCGCCCCTTTCGTGGCCGTGTAATCGAGGAGTTTGGCGTTGCCTTTGTACGCGTTCACCGATGTGGTGTTGATTATCGAGCTCCCTTCTTTCATGTGCTTCAAAGCATGCCTACACAAAATCACAAATAATAATTAGGGTACAATTGTAAGATATTGAGTATCCTCCAATGATTGCTTGATCAATGTCACAAATATTTAGCATTAGAATCATGTAAATAAAACAATAAGGCCTTGTTTGATTGGAAAGATTAGCCATCATTACCTAAATAATAAAACTTTATTTGATATTTAATATCCTGAATAACTTCTCAGATTGACCAGCAATCTGCTATGAAATTCATGGGATTCTGATATTTTTCGTTAGACGTCCAATAAAATAAGTTGATTTTTATTAGATTATTTTGTCAACTAAACGAGGTCTAATTAGCTAAATACCAAATAAAACAAATAATTACCTAGTGGTGAAAAAGTAGGAGAAGATGTTGGTCCTGAAAACCCTCTCGAGGCGATCGGAATCGATCTCTTCAATCGAGCCGGCCTCGTACTGCTCGGCCGCATTGTTGACAAGAATATCGATCCGGCCGAAGCTGTTCACCACTTCATCGACGACCCGTTTGCAGTTCTCGTCGAACCCGAGATCCGTGGGTATCGCAACCGGGTCCTTAGCATCCGGATGCTTAGCCTTCATCAGCATTCCAAGAGCATCATTTGCATCTTTATCCTCTTGGCCCTTGACGTACGTAAATGCCACCGTGGCACCCTCCAGAGCAAAGCAGTGGCCCACCGCCCGCCCGATCCCGGAGTCGCCTCCGGTCACAAGAGCCACCTTACCCTGATATATGATCACACAATTAATTAACCATGGTTAGTTAATAAATAGATTTCCAATTATATATAAATAAAATATAATGAATTTGATACATATATACATACGAGGAGCTTGTTGGAAGGCTTGTATTCTGGGGTGGTGGAATGAGGAGTGGGGTCCATGAGGTGCTGTTTGCCGGGCTGGGTGTCCTGCTTCTGCGGCGGGAATTGCTGGCCGCTCGACGCCATTGATCTGACGGCGGTGGTGGGAAAATTATTTGGGGTGTATTTTTTTACAATAGAGAGAGGATTGGAACTTGGTGGTGAGAGAAGTAGGTGTGTTGAGCTATGTAGAAGGCGAGATGAGAACATGTGTGTGTTTATATAGAGTTTGCATGGCGGTGGTGGTGGGTGTGTGTGTATATGTGTGTATGTATATATCGGTGGAGATATGTGAGAAGGGAAAATGAGTGCATGGAGGTATACGTGGAGAGTGGGGGTGGAAAGAGGGGACACGTTTGTGGAAGGAAACGTCATTGCAGATTTGGATGCATGGACAAGGCACCTCTAGAAATTTCTTTCCAATTAATTGTTCTTATCGTTCTTTAATTAATCTCTATCGATAAATTATATTTTCTTTTATTTTTTGATTTTGGGTAAAAAAATTACTATCACATTCTGATATGTGGTCAAATTACGAAAAATTCCTTCTATTTGGGCAATTGCAAACATCAAATTCTAGATATCGCGACTTATTCTCTTGTTACTCGTTTTATACAAAAATGCAATTTTTGATGCACCACAATCTGATATTTACAAGATAAGAGACACATTTTATGATCATCTTGTTTCAAAATAAGGAGCTCGAATAAAATAAAACGTATACAAACTGAAGAATATTACACATAAGATAGAAGGTTTCACGAAATTTAACAATATAAGAGGCCCCATTTTAGGTTTTTTTTTTTTTTTCTTTTTTTCATATATATATCAAGGTTGTAAAAATCGGTAATCGGGTCCGAGTCGGTCAGGCACCGACTCACGATTATTCGGCGCGGCGGTGATAAATCGGAAATAAATCGGTTTTTAAAATTTAATATAATATATTTCTAAATATTATTTATTAATACTCCAATCATATATAAAAAGATATTTAAACATAGTTATATCTCCATCATGTATATATCCTAATAACAAAATAAAAGTTTAATAATCATAAGATAATAGTAAATAAATATCCTTATAAAATATAAATAAAAAAATATTTTTTTTTGAATTTACATTTATTTTTGAACATTCGTGGCATACATCATTAGTTCTTTAACAATAACAATTAACATAAAAGAAATAAGGCATAAACTCATATTTTCTTTTATTAAAATCCAACTTTTATTTTGAATTATGATAATAATAAAAAAAAAAAAAAAAAAACCACCGATTTTTAACCGATTTTTGCCACCGAGTTTGACCCGCCTTAAAGGTTTGACCGCCTCACAGGCAAAAAACCGATTTTTCAAACCTTTACACTAAAATCGTAAAGGTTTTGGACCGCCTCCGCCTCGGAGACCGATTAATCGGCCGCCTCGGCCGATTTTT